CCCCAAAACCCCAAAACCCCAAAACCCCAAAACCCCTAGTCAGTCCAAATAATAGAATTTTATAAAAATATACCATTTTCTTTAAACTCCATATTTTTTAACTCTACAAAATGACAACTGCACATAAGCCAACGTGGCATTCAGCCAAGGGAGGAAGCAACCAAGGAGGAAATGTTATGAGTAAGTACCTCTCCATCTTTCTTGTGGAATTTTCACTATTTTTAATAAAATTTCTTAACATATTCTCTAGTCACTCCGACAAGACAGTACTCAGCAAAAGATTTGCCAGGTCATCTCGAGCTTAAGACCAGAGCGAAGGAGCAAGGAATCGATCATGACCTCAATGACATCGACCAGTTCAAGAAGGTAAGTTTCCTATATCACTTCCAAATGTCCTAATTTCTTCTAGGAACTGCTGCAAAGAGAGAAAAAGTACTTTGAAAAGAAAGGTGACACGGGTGAAGTTCCCCAGTCACTGGATGATGGCTTCAAAATGCCCAAAAAGAGAGAAATAAAGGATCTCAGCAAGAAAGCAGATGATTTAAATTCTCGAAGTAAGTCCCAAAATCACCCTCTAGATAAGGAATACGAGGACGAACTGAACGAGAAGGGAACTCCCTTCCCTCAAGATGCCGATTACCAGTCAGAATCAGATTCAGGATCTTCCTCTGATTCTGAAAGCAACTCCGCATCAGAAGATGACGAAGAAGAAGCTGCCCTCCTGAAGGAATACATCAAAATCAAGAAGGAGAAGGAGGAAGCTGAGAAGAAGAAACTCGAAGAAAAAGCCAAGGCTAAGGAAGAAGAGGAAAATAAAGAGCTCATGCACGAGAATCCGCTGTTTAATAAAGAAGCTGATGAGAACGAAGGTGTTTACACCTTGCAGAGAAAATGGTATGATGAGACGGTCTTCAAGAACCAGGCTAGGATCCAGAAAAAGGAGAAGAAGAGGTTCATCAATGATACTGTTAGAAGTGACTTCCACAGAAACTTTATGAATAGATTTATTCAATAATTTAGATAAAGACCGGGGTTTTGGGGTTTTGGGGTTTTGGGGTTTTGGGGTTTTGGGG